AACACTTTCACGAACTCTGACACATTTTCAGGCAACTCTTCGTAAAGTCGGTGTCCTGTTATCAGATCCACTGGCAACCGAGGTTCCCGACCAAACATCATCTTTGCTGGAATGTATACAGTGGCCTCATGCTGTTCTATAGGCAATCAACAGTGGAGGGAGTAAGACATCCCAGTCATCTTGGCGGCTATTACAAAATCTTACCAATTCCTGTAAAAGTGTCCAATTATACTTTTCTACCATCCCATCAGACTGTGGGTGAAGTGGCGTTCTCTTGGTCTTTCGCATGCCAAACAACTTGCAACATTCATGGAACACAGGTGATTCAAAGTTACCACCTTGATCCGAATGCAGTTCATATGGCATACCAAATCTGAAGAAGAAATCACTAATAGCCGAAGCTACTGTTGTAGCTTCCTTTTTTGGTATTGAATATGTCTCAGGCCACTTGGTGAAATAATCCATCACCACACAAATGTACCTGTTTCCAGCACGAGTTTGGGGCCAAAGACAAGCAATGTCAATGGCTACTCTTTCCATTGGTGTGCCAACTTGATATAACTTCATTGAAGCACGTCCCTTATACTTGGGTCCCCTTTTACCACAACATGTACTGCATGTCCTACATCATACAGTATTGCAAAAGACCTTGGCCATAACTAACTGCAGTCTGATGGTAAACCTTGCACGATAGAGGTAAGGATGGAAATATGTCAGACTCTTTACTATAGCAAGGAGTTCCCTCCGTGTTACACAGTAGTTTCCCTCTAGTCTACTCAAAACCCTACTGAAGTAGGTCACCACATGTTCGTTTTCGTTCATTTTCCGAGACAAAACTCCTCTAATTCCGACATTACTAGCATCACAATCCAGTATGTACGACAGTGAGGGATCTGGAAGCTTTAAAAGTGGAGCAGAGGCCAATTTTTCTTTCAATGTCTTGAAAGAATGCTGGCAAGAAACTGTCCATTCAAACTTCTGGCCTTTTTTAGTCAATTCATGTAGTGGAGCAGCTATAGTTGCAAAATCCTTCACAAACTTTCGGCAATAGGTACAGAGTCACAAGAAACTTCTTAACTCTCCCACATTGTCTGGTGTTGGCCAATCATGCACTGATTTTACCTTGTCAGGATCAGTTTGCACACTATGCTCACTTACAATGTGCCCTAAGTAAAGCACCTCTTTCTGGAACAAGTGGCATTTCTTGGGATGGAATTTGAGGTTTGCTGCTTTCAAATGCTTGAATTCTTCCTCTAGCCAGGACATTTCCTCATCAAAAGTTGTTGCAAATACAATGACATCGTCCAGGTACACCAGGGCTATCCTCCATTGAAAGCCTTCCAATACTCTTTCCATCAGTCTCTCAAATGTTGCTGGAGCATTACTAAGCCCGAATGGCACCACTCGGTATTGCCAGAGACCTTGGCCATAACTAAATGTTGTCTTAGGTCTATCTGCTTCAGTCATTTTTACTTGATGGAAAACTGACTTTAAGTCCAGAGTTGAAAACCACCTGGGTCCACTTAGGGCATCAAGAGTATCATCAATTCTTGACAGTGGGTATGAGTCTTTTTCGGTTATACTGTTAAGAGCCCTGAAGTCCACACAGCAACGTTGGGTCCCATCCTTCTTCTGGACTAACACGATGGGAGCTGACCAGGGACTATCTGATTTTTTGACCACCCCTTCCTTAATCAGGCCATCCATGACCTTCTCTATCTCTTGTCGTTTTGCCGGAGCTATTCTTCTCGGATGGATCTTTATTGGACGGCGATTGCCTGTGTTTATTCTGTGCTCTACAAGGTCTATGCAGCCGAAGTCAAGATCTCCATTCGAAAAGACATCTGCATAATTCGCCAAAAGTTCCCTAACCCAAAGAGGTCAATTAAATGTTCTGGGAGCGGATGTCTTTTCTTTATAGTTGTATTTCTTACCTTAACATTGACTAGCTCTACCTCCTGGCACACAACCAACAATGCCTCCTTCCTTAAGTGCCTGCTCACATTTAGAAAAATTAGCCACTGTTATGGGTACTACTTGATGACCTACCACAAGTGACCTTCCAATTTTCACATCCACTGGCCTGGATGGGTCTTCCACAAACATCGGGCTTCCTTGGGGATGTTCGTTTATTCTACCCCAAATTATATTCTCTGACCTAAGGGGTATTGTACTTGACTTAATTGCTGTGACATGCAAATCAACAGATGCAGCAACACTTAACGGAATTTGGCCTTTGTTGTTCCCAAACGTCATTTTATCGAAGTTAACTGCACACATCCTCGGTAGTAAGTAGTCCAACCCTAATATGCATTGTTCTTCAATGTCAGCCAAGTATGCTTTGTGTCTGTTCTTCATGCCCATGAGCTCATTAGTTACCCACACTGGTCC